TTTTTTTCTTTTTTTATCACGAAGGTTCTGATTTTCAGTATTATCTTAATGTTATGTATTTATTATAGTAAAATATTCCGCTCCACGTACATTTAGTGGAAGCCCAGCCTGATAAGGTATCTGATAAGCGTCTGTCTGATGCAGCGGCGCGGCAACTAGTGTTCATAACGATACGCTAATTGATACAGATTAGAAATTACATCAGCAAATATTTGATACAGATTATAAAATAGGAGACGAATTAGAAATGAGTATTTATTGCGATACATTAAAATATAATAGGGAGGAAGTAACTCATTATGTTGACTTTTAATTAATTTTATTTAGTGTCAAATTCATCGATAATGAAATATGGAAGATATGTTTAAAGAAAAAGTATGAAATAAAATGCTATATTAAAATAAATATACCTAATTGAAATCTTCCGGTATTTTATATTTAATTTATGTTGATACAGAATTTTATACTTTCATCGGAAGCATATTGTTATTCTGGATGCAATCTTCACAGATCGTAATAATCTTCCCAGAAACACATGACGAATCTGTGCATCATGAGTCATGATTATTAAAAACTTTCGGAAGTAGGAAACTCATCAAAACGATTGTGACTTGTTCTGACAGACGTCAACAATGGCCATTGTCTCACACGCTTTGATAATAAGTCACTGTATTGACCAGGCTTAATAATTTTCGGTGTTAAATAACTTTGACTTTGGTGCTAACCTTTAAAATGTAATCGTATACATATAGCCTAAAATTAACCACGATCCTACGTTTATATGGACAATATACACACAATAAATTTAGTTCTGTATCTATATAGAAATTATTAATCTGTGAACATTAGATGTCAAATTGACAGCTTGTCAAATATTTTGTATTGGTAAACTTAATTGTACAATCTTTTTGTCATGGCCACATTAAGAAACGTATGAGAAAAGGCAAATTAATTTCTTTTCATATTTAGAGACCGTAATAATGAATTTTCCATATAAATACAATTTAATATAAAGTTTCTATATTCGAAAGAATTATAAACTAACTAATAGTAAAGTCTTAATATATCAAAATGCTTTTCCTTGTACATGTACAACTTATACACGATTTGTACACGCCTTGTAAACGTTAAGTCACATTTCACACGTATTAATGTTTATCGATGGAAAAAAAAATAAACTTTACAACAGATTGCAAATGACAATAGTGTTTTCATTAGTTTAGAGGAATGCGTTTTCTAATGGATCACGCTTGTGTACTGTTTGTGAGAAAAATATAAATAAGACGGATCAACAGCACGCCTATCATAACAATATGATGATATACATATACATATAAATATATAAATATAGACGTATATATATATAAACTATGTGACCATAACTATGTACAAATATATTAGTTAAAACTGTACAGGAAACGTTTAAATTGTTTAACTAAAAACCTAGATTGATACTATCGTGAAGATATCCCTACTAATATTATAAATGCGAAAGTAGCTCTGTCTGTGTGTCTGTTTGTTACGCTTTCACGCCTAAACCACTGAACTGATTTTAATGAAATTTGGTACAGAGATAGAGTTGACCTTGAGAAATAACATAGGATAGTTTTTATTCCAGACTTTTGAAAGGTTCTCTTGGAAACGCGATATAACCGAACTCCAAGCGGGTGGAAAGCTACTCGTAGTATGAATATAAACTGTTAAATGATTCGTATTTGGTTTGTTGTTAGGACTTTTGGTTATGGTGCTGTATTAAATTCTATTAGGATGTCGTTTCAGTATTACCAACGTTATATTTGTAGTTCAAGTCATCAAGATATTGTAATGGTTTAAGACTTCTCCACCTTAGAATTGATTCGTGAAAGAAAAGAATCATTTGCATAATTAGAATTATTTAACGCTTTTGGTACAGAAATATATGTATAAGGGAAACCAACATCCCCAAAAACCATGCCTTCGAGGTCAATAAGTATTACGAGATAACTAACAAACTCACTAGAAATAGGTTCGTCGTGGATTTGTACGCGGTAGAGGTGGGAGCGAGAGGTATAACAGCGAAATCTCTCTACAACCTACTAAAAGACTTGGGCTTGTCCAGAACTAACATCAGTTCATTCTTGGAACGTACATCGAAGGCAGCCCTAGTAGGTTCATTTCAAATTTGGTAGAGAGAGGAGCTTGGACGGTGGAGGTGAGCGTTTAACGCGTTAGATAGGGTACCCTTAAACCTACACCTGGGTCGCAAGTCACAGTCACTGTTGAAGCTCCTCTCCCTGCAATGATGGACTCGACACACGCACCGTGAATACATGGAATGCTAAGAGTTTTCGTCCCATATGTTTCCTACTACGAGTATAGAATAAGGTTTGATTGTAGATAATATTATAATTATAAGCATAATGAAGGACATCTTAAAATAGTATTCAATAATTCCTATGAAAAACAATGAGTTCACGTCAAAATACAACCATTAATTTCTCAGAAAATATAAAATTGTTCAAAATAATTAAAATATAATGTACATGATTCTTCCATTTAGTTATATATTATATCAATCTTAATCAATATAGCCATCTTATATATTCTTCTTCTACCTGGCAATTTCTCAGCTTTAGGAAGGGGTTGTGAATAGTTTTGTCTATTTGTTTTTACGACCGGCCGCCTGCCTGACATCAACTCTCTTTGGGAATGCATTAATCAGTGATGTCTAAATACTCTTAGTACATATGACTCGGAAAAATCACATTGGTACTTGCCAGGGCCAGGATCGAACCCGCGCACTCATGCATGAGAGGCGGGCTTTTTAACCACTAGGCCATCACTGACTTCCATCTTATATATTATAATATAAAAAAGATACTTAAATCCTAATTAATAAGTTAGTATTATTATGAAGTAGGTTTCAAATAATTTTAAGATATTTTAGTAACACTACGTTATTGTTGTTTCAGTGTCAAAGTTAGAATTGATAGCAATGCTAAAATATTATTTAAAATTTATCATCAATATGACCTCTGTGTTTGACAGATGAATAATAAAAACATATTAATATTGGTTTACGTATTTATTATAAATTTATAAAATATTTTAACCTAATTGAATCGTATGAAAATTTACAAGTGATGTAAAAATTAAATTTGTATCATACGCTTAGTAGAAATTTCTATCGTCACTACAAACGTAACGTCTCCCGTTTTTCTTTCACACACACAAATTAACGTAATTCTATGTGTGATTTACGAATTAAAAACTGTTAACGACGAGTATGTAGTGCAAAACTTGTGGTTACTATCTTTAGGCTTACCACACTTTCAAGTTTTTTAATCATTCTACGTAGATATCTTTATTAAAACTCTAAATAGTCTGTTTAGTAATTTTACGACAACTTTTAGTAAGCGTAACATCTAATTTCTAGTTTGATTTGTTTTACATAAAATTAAATTATTTTGCTTCAAGTTAATTAAAATTTATATCCATTCAGATGCTGTGACTATAAAAATAAATAACATGCTTATATAATAAAAGTATAAAGAATTAAAAAATATTTATAACAAAACGTAAGTTTTAACAAAATGTAGCTTGATAACAATTTTACTTTTTAGATATAAAATAACAATCTCTCTTATTTCTAAGAAGAGGATATTCAGAACATTCTAATAATTATTATTTCAAAATTATCTGAAATCAAATTTATTGAAATATAAAACAAAATACCAATAAAATATTCACATAAAAACAACCACTCACAACTCTTATACAATCCAAATACATTACATATAATAACGACTATTATACAAAAATTAAAGTACATGTACAAATTATGTACATTTTTGTACACAGTGAATATCCAAAATGTCTTTATTACATAGCGACAGTTCCCACTGGCGCTAACATTCTAAGAAAGGTGTCGCTTCGTTTCCTTTAAAATGAGAATCGCATGTCTCCTGTTACTTGACTTGTGTGGTAAAGATATATGTGGGGGGTAAATAATATTTGTACATAACAATCGTTATAGCTTGGATTTATATTAAGTTATATTAAATTTTATTATCTATCTGAGCTTCAACGAGATTCAAATTTATTGGTATATTATTTAGATTAGTTTAAAGTTAATTTATTTTTAATTTTATTAGTAATATATAAATGTATCTATTAGTGAGTTCTAGACTTCTAGTCACAATGGGTAGTCCCGTGAAACCAAAGTATAGGCTTAGTTAGCTCCTATTTCGATCGATTGTAGTTTCGACTTACAATTTCCTGATAGCATTATATTCTCGTTACAAGGAAACCCGATCTGATACTTAAGATTTTTCAGATTCCGTGAATATCACACCGTCACACCGTCACACCGTCCGTTTGAGACAAAACGTATCATATTACATATATAACGGTGTAATGGTGGCTTTAATATGTTTCACGATACATGCTCTAAATGACTGGTTGGTTAAATGGAATCTAAGAGTCGCGGATATTCATTTAAATGAAACTAATATTTACGGATTACTACGCGTTATTTTGTATTAGTTTAAACTACATACTCCCGACGTTTCGGTTACTTTACAGCAACCGTGATTAGTTATTCTTATATCAGATATCAAAATTACTGATAGATAGATTTAAATATATACCTATATATTTTAAAAGTGAATTTCTTAGAGGCATAAGAAAGTAATTTAACGGTATATATATTTAATTTGAAATTATTTAAGTTTTATAGTATTTGTTCAATTATGTGTTTTCTTGCACAAACAAACGTCAAACACCTTATTAATATTAGAAATACATGAACTCGTGGATTTCAACATGATTTTATATATAGATCATAGCTATTTAATAGCATTTTCTGAATTAAGCTATATGGTGTTTCATGAAACCCAGAATTTATTTAATTTAAATACAAACATTTAGTAAACGAGAATCTTGTATAAAACACTTCTTATTTGATTTTATTTTAAAGATATTTTAAAACTGATATTCTAATGATTATCTTTTATCAACAGTATGATGGATTCTGGGGGAGCGGGTATAGAATCGCCACCTACCTACCACAGGAGCTACGAACAATACGTCCAGGGGGCTGTAGAGACTAGTACAGACTCAGGCCAAGACCAGACCAGTCCAGAGCTAGTAGTCTGGTCTACGTTACCGTACGGTCTAGACTATAGAGCGCAATACGACTACAGAAGTCCATATGACACATCAAGGGATTACTCCTCACAGCAATACGCTAGAGCGCCCTTTACTACAAAGATGGGTCAGGCCAAAGCCTTGAAGGAAGCCAGGATACGAAGACCCATGAACGCCTTCATGGTGTGGGCGAAGGTGGAGCGGAAGAAACTGGCTGATGAAAACCCGGATCTTCATAATGCTGATTTAAGTAAAATGCTAGGTGAGTCTTCCTATACATATTATTATTTAAATTTATACACCCAAATGATATTTTTTTCATAAAATTAAAAATCAAACATACCTATGTAACCTTCGTATATTTATTATTCCACGCTGCTTATAAAAAACCGCTTCGTTGTTTAAAATAAATGCGTTAAAAAGTACAAAAGCAGTTAAACCCTTGCCCGTGAGTCAGCACAAACGACCAATCTTCGGTAGATTTGAATTTTAAATTTTTGACGGCCAGTTAAAAATTATTACCGTCACTATTTTCTATTAGCATATCATTATTAATTTTATTATTATTATTTATCTACATATATACATATAAATGTATAAGTCTAAATGAATAAGTTAACAATATTTTTACGTATCAAAAACTTATTAAAATAGCAATTTTAAATAAAAACTATTTAATCGAATTAACTTTATAACTAGAGTTGTTTGTAAATAAATAATTATAGACGTTTCGTGATCAAGAAATTACATTACCATAGCGGGTTAAATATTTAAAATAGTTTACAAAAATGGATACAAGATGGCGACACACGCTAACAACTTAATTAAACACTGTCGTAATCGGTAAACTTTTTTTATTAAATTATTCATTGATATACATAACGACAAAGAATCATGAGTTTTGTTTAAACTTCTATAACTTTTTTATTGGTTAAGTTATGTAAAGAATTAATTCCGTGTATTGAATTGATCATTTTCTCGTATATTTTGCATACATTAATATCACACTTCTTTGTCTGTAACTCCCGGAATAGAATAAGTCAATTTTATTCCTTCATCTTCCATCAAAATAGACGACAATACATCAAAATAGAGTTTTACGTTCATAAAAACAGGATAAAATCTTTAATAAATATTTTACACCACCGTTCCTTGGAACAATGGAATATAAGAATTGATTTGAAAATAACATCATATATATGTAGCATTAACAAGAAATACGTATATGTATATTTAATATTATTGGTTTTTCCTTCTGTCTTTACAAGTTCGTAATAAATTTTGTTATAATCTCAAAGCTTCAACCTAACGTACAGATTTCATTTGTTTTGTCACAGATGACTACTTTATATTAAAGACGCTTTGAATAATGAAAATAATAGTTTTCTATGTAAACATAGGTACATCTAGTAATGTATTTCTGAGTTAGTATGAAAAGATATTGACAAGAATATCAATATTTATGTTATTATAAAAGATGAGTGCTGCCATCTCTTATCAATAAACGCGAATTAGTTATTAGCTTCTTTTAAAGCTACAAGACGTCTAACAAAAGCCTCTACTGATCTAAAAACTGTGAGATGCAAATGTCAGAAGGCTGTACATTGTTATAATTATAATTACCAAGCTTTATAACTTTCTCCGTGTCGGGTGTAGGACATGAACTCGGCTCACTACGCAATGTAATGTAACCCGTACAGTCGATGACAGAAGTGTTATGATAAAATAATAATTTGTGTGCTAAATCTTGCTAATGTAAATTTGGAATAAAACTCCATACAAATTTCGTACACTTTAGAGGAGATTTTAGGAAGAAGTTCTAATGATTTTTTCTGTTTGTGCCTTATGATCTATAATTATGTAAAAAATATATAAAAAAGACGAAAATTTTCAATATAAATGCTTTTTTTTAATAAGGTTTATTCAACCTACTATATATGTGCTTAATCCCCTCTACTTATTATTTAAATTAAAAAAAGTATGTACATTATTATTTAAATTTTACAACTAAAAAGTTTTTAATTAATCAACCTCTTTCCTCCTCCGAGTGCCCCACGTATTTATCTATTCGCATCAAATGACAATCAAGTGACATTTATCATATTAAAGTTGAACTTACAACGCGACTGTCCCGCGTTAGATATGGCCAGTCATTACGACGCGTGGGTGGTACGATGGTATCGTTCTTAATGAAATAAAACACAGGCTAACAAAAAAAAAACAAGCATAAATAGTTCAGCCAAATTCAGATAGAAATGAGGTTGTATATAAATTAATATATTATTTTTAAATTCGTTTGAAGTCGAGCTGTAATTTTAAACTATTATTCATATATACGATGAGTAATGTTTTGCAAGTTAAGTTATCGGCCAAAATATGGAATTACCGTTGCATTATGTGTTCGTTACCTTTGTAGTGTACTTACTACTGAACGTATATTAAATATAAGTTAAGGAAATGTTTATTTATTAATTAAATTAAATGATTTTTACAAATAGAATGAATACTATTTATATTTACGGTCGGGGAATGACTAAACGTCATATTATAATATGTATTACATATATTACGTTATTGTGGTATTCCATATCTATAAAAAATGAACTGAAACATTTAAAAATCATATTAAATTATAAATCCCATACAAATACCATAGCGTTAGAAATTATAAGTCGACCGCAAATGGTAATTATGGAATGATTCACACATATGTGGAATATAGAATGAATCAAATAAAATAATAACTTTATTAAAGTTTATAAAACGTTATAATTTTTTAATATAAAATTGCTTACCTATCACTAATTTCGTCAACTATTTTTTTTGAACAATGATAATTAATAATTTTAATTATTATTCTGAATGATTTATATATGTATATATTTATATATATCTTGAAGCATATTAACCACAAACAAAAACTCGTAAACAATATTCCTGGGATTTCCCTCAGTTATCCCAGTACAGAAACCGTTACGTTAATTATATTAATTATAGATTATAATTAATTCATTATTAATATTTAATTTAAATTAAAAGAAATTATGTAGATTATATAAGGACTTTTGATAAAAAAAGGTATGTAAAAATATTTAACAGTATAAATATAAAATCTTATTAAGTTATCACAGATTATAAAATATTTTATATATGTATATTAATGTTACATTGACAGTTAAATAATTCCAAATAGTGAAGTTTTTGATAGTGCTTTTATTAATTCATTTCGTTTATAATTTGTTTCTGTTTTGTTGGACTTAAAAGACTTCAATATGAGTAAGATTTATCTATTAAAATTAAATTCATTTGCCCGTGATCACGATTGTAAAAAGTAACCCCAAACCTCGGGAGTATCTTGTCTTAAAATAATAAAATACGCATAGTAATCCGAAAATATTAGTTTCAGTCATCTGTCAAATATGATTTTATAACAAACTAGCTTCCGCCCGCGTGGAGTTCGGTTATATCGCGTTTCGAAGAGAACCTTTCAAAAGTCTGGGATAAAAACTATCCTATGTTCTTTCTCAAGATTAGCTCTATCTCTGTATTAAATTTCATTAAAATCAGTTCAGTTGTTAAGGCGTGAAAGACAGACAGACAGAGTTACTTTCGCATTTATAATATTAGTAGGGATTAAAATTTAATGACGGAGCCATTTTGACTTATACGTATATGACATATAATAGAGCGATATACTTAAGTAATATTTTATACCTTAGATATTATAATAACATGATAGGAAGCAGGCAGAACGTATCCGCCAAGGTCTGATGCTGGCCTTGTGGCATCCTCCTCATTAATTGGTTAAATTACACACCATTTAAGGCGTGGCGATACGATAATGGCGATCGCCACGTGCCTCGTAATACTGAGTGAACCTAATTAGCAACCTTAGCCATGATCCGGCTCTATAAAAACCATCTTTTATTAATATAAATAGAATATTAAAAAAAATATGTTCGTCAGCATCATAGTCGTTGTATTGACTCGTGACGTCATACCTGCCCCAGATTTTTGACTGCGTATAGTATTTGTTATAAATCATTGATTACTGTATATTATTGTTTTTTATTATTATTTTTATAAGTCATGGAATCTTAAAAAAGTTTTATTAATAACAATGAAGGTTTTGTGCAAGAAGTTCTTATATAGTCCATAGTTACTTTGACTCTTAAAAACCCTGGACCGTGTTTTATTATTTATAATTTCATTTTACCTTCTTTAAACAACGAACTGTTTTAGACGGGAGGGAAAATGTAAAGTAAGACTGAGTAACGCTTACTTTCAAATATGTAGGTAATTAAAACACCAAGTAGCATATCTAAGATATTTTCTACATGCTATTTTCGGCTTATCTCTGGCCGCCGTTTTTGGCCAAAGACAACTTTTTACTCTGCCCAATATGGACGCCGTCAGCTTATGGAAATATAATCTTGATGTGTTTAAACGTATATATTATATTTTTTATCTGTCACTTCTGAAATATAACCGATCGTTTTGCTTAATAAATTATATTTATTTTTATATATAATTTCGAATTGCGAGCTACATGGCAACACTAAAAAACTTTCACGTAATTATGTCACGTCAGCGTCAGCGTGAGTTTGGTAGTCGTTTGGACGCGGTTCGCTCTTCAATATTGTTTTCCAGTAATATAATTCCTAGGTGAAGTTAATTTCTACGAAACGTTAAAAAAATTCATACGGAATAGAACGAAAACATTCTAAGAAATATACAAAAAGCCACCGAAGACAAAAAGCGTCCCATCGATATTCAAGTCACGCGAGCAATAATAATACAATTAATTCCGTTGTCACATATCATAACAAATACGTCGTGCTAGTATATTAAACAACGCTCGTATTCCCTTGTAATAAGAGCTATATTCGATTGATACAACTGCACGTTAATTTTGTTATGCTATATATGAAAATCTAAAGTAGTGTCGCATCGACTTGGGAGGCGATCCCGGAGGAAAATTCGCAGATAACAGTCATGTCCTTGATCAGTCTGTGGCACTTGGAGTTATGAAGATAATACATACATACATACATACATCAGAAGATTTGAAACTTTTATATTACTAGCTATCCGCCCGCAACTTCGCCCGCGTGGAGTTCGGTTATGTCGCGTTTCCAAGAGAAGCTTTTAAAAGTCTGGGATAAAAACTATCCTATGTTCTTCCTCAAGGTCAACTCTATTTCTGTACCAAATTTCATTAAAATCAATTCAGTGGTTTTTACGTGAAAGCGTAACAGACAG